ATTCTAAATCAAAGTCTCAGAGCACGTCAAAGAACCTAAAGGAAACCATTTTCCTAAATTTACAAAGTCCAAAACTTGTACTAAAAACTTTGATTGGGTTCGTATGCATACCTCCAAATGCGATGTAAGCGATTCGATGCTGGCCAAAGAAGTAGACAGCATCGGAAACGATACCGTAGATGGGTTTGGCAACCATTGGAAGATTCGCCGAGTTCTGGAAAATTGGTTTGGCTGGTGATAACCTATAGTCGAACTCGATTTCGCCGGCTCGGTCGGCAGAGTCGCCTCGGTCGGCAGAGTCGCCTCGGTCGGCAGAGTCGCCTCGGTCGGCAGAGTTGCCTCGGTCGGAAACAGTCGGAGCAGCCAGATTCGTCGTCTACGGAGAAAAGGAAGAGGAGAGAATGAATTATTGGGAAAAAAAAAACAGGACCATAAAAATATTTTTTTCTTCTATTTTTTGTTGTCCAATAACAGTAAGCCACGTGTACTTAAAAGACGTCTCTTGCATCTCCTAAATAAGAGACGTCTCTGGCAAATTATTTTCTTTCTTATTTAATTAAATACAAAAAAAATCTGAGAAATGCTGCTAAATACCCTGTTGCATATGCTCTTAGTTTCTTAACTTATCAAAATACTAAATTTGGTTAATAAAAAAAGATGTTTTCATTTTTTCGGAAATAATTAATTCGGGCGTTAATAAGAAACTTGGAGGTGGGTATTACCAACTTACAATAGTTTGACACAACACGCTCAATTTAAAGCTTCCAGGATTGTGGCGACAAGTTATAAAATTCAACTACAGTCGAAGAAGTAGTTAGCTAAAATAAGGCCTCTTGATATATATATAATCTTATAATATAGCTGAACAAATATTTGACATGTATATATCGTTAAGACGATAATAAATTACGCATGCACGATACATGGATACTTTAGATTTAACTAGTAATTAAATTAGTTTGGATAAGTCAAATTATCATATTCCAGCGTAATACTAGTAGTATTTTTACATTTGGTACTTAGAGGAGCATCTGAAAACTCTTTGAAGGCCTTATATATATACATAGTAGCCATGTTCGTATAGCTGACGTTAGCATTGATTTCTACTGTCAACGTCCACATGATGTTAGTTTTGCTTACGTTTATGAATACTCGATTGTGAGGTTTGGTCGCTACCGTCGAGCGACTTGTACTTTGTGACATTTATATACATGATACATATTGTTCAATGTTTTTTTTTTTGTTTTTTTTTTTGAACTGGACATATAGTTCAATGTTGTGTGTTTGATTTTTTTTTTCTTCTTCGTTTCTTCAGAAAACCAAGTATATACTTTAACCGAAAATAGAGGTTTCTTAACATACGAAAGTACTTAAATCAGCCATTGAATGAGAGAATCTCCATGGTGTCTTTCATTTATTTATAATCAAACAAGGTCAATTATAATGTTAGGTTTTGTTGATATGCATAAAATAACGAGTATAAAGTTTACATAAGTTTGGGATCAAGTTCAACTAACAAATTAGGCTCACAGTTCTATACATAATACAATGTCAATATTGACCTTACCAGTACCATCTATACTAAAATACAAATCTTAACTTGATTTTTTATTAAGGGTATTTGTTAAAGTACATTACAAATTTACCATTCTACTCTAACTTTATTAAAGTCTAGAAAATACAAGATGAACATCACATTTATCGAATCCAATCTATAACTCAACTTAAAGTATGAACAGACCGCTCATACTTAAGTAGAAGTCTATAACTCTGGTTCTATAGGTTATTCTGAAATTAGTTAGAATCAATGTGTGAAATGGCGCTGGGCGGTAGGCGGTCGGTTGTGTCTCGACTAGAGTCAAACCCGAAAATCGGCGATTATGCGCCCCGATTAATCGGCGATTTATTTTGAGAAATTTTTTGTTTTTTCGTTTTTTTGTGGTTGTAACTTATGAATTATGAAACCAATAAACATGTGGTTTGAAATAAGCATATTTGATTGTCAAAGTAACAAAACAATAAGAAAACAAGTTCAAATCACATCTAAATTAAAAAAAACAAAAGAGAAGTACAAGCACATGATGCCAATTGCCAAAAAAAGATATTGTCTTGATATTGAGAGCCAAAAAAAAACACAAGGAAAGCATAATCTTCATCCTTTTCCTCCTCAATCATCAAGTTATCATGTGTGGTGTATTTCTAGATGTGTTTGAGTTTGTCATTTAGTAATGGAACCTGAAAAAAAAAGAGCACAAGTTAGAGGACACTAGTTGTTTTTCTGAACACAAGTTGTATTCTCCTAAAGACAACTAACATCGAAGACATCATAGCAAATAAACAACTTATCATCAAAATATCAGAATATCAACTTCAAAGAATACGAATGACAAACAACAAACTAACCTGATTATTGAGAGTCCTGAAACAGAGGGACTTCTTGGTATTCATCAGGTTCAAACTCCATTTCAATGTTGTCTTCTGGTTCAGAATCAAAGTCGTCATCATAGATGTCTCTCATCCGTGGTGCTTGCAGGGCTAGCATTATATTGACTTCACTGTCTTGGTCTTGTGCTTGTGGTCTTGTAATCCATTCGTCTATGGTATCTTCATTACCATCTTCATAGATGGCATCAGCATTTTGTTCTCTTATCTTTTTCTGCTTGTTGAACAACTTAGCATTGAATTGGACATAGACTAGATTGTTCAAGCGATTAACATCTAGTCTATTCCTTTTATTAGTATGAATCTGCAAACCCAGAGATAAGGCAGTGTAAAACAATTAACATAAAAAACTTGTTTGAAAACAATGCAAGAACTCACGGCAGAATACACTTACTGATTCAAAACAACTCCAGTTTCTTTCACAACCAGATGTCAAAGCAAGTATTCTTGTGGCTAACTTCTGCAAAGTTGGTGCGCCACAACCATAGGTTGCCCACCAATTCCCCGTGACAATAAAACCGATGATGATCAGATAAGTAATGAGGATGATCAACTAAGAGAATTACAGTGAGGAGACTAACCTGGATCAAACTTCTCATCTCTTGTTTCACAGCCTTTTAATGCTAAGTTTTTGCCAAACAATCCAGATTTGTTCTTGTAGAGACTAACTTCATGATTCATTACCTTATCTTGAGAATCAAAGTTACCATGATAGAAAGTCTCTACACAGCTCATGAATCCTTCGATGATGGCCAGATCAAACTGTATAGTATTGTCTTTATAGACATAAAAAGGGTTCAGAAAATATGCAGCCACATGTAATGGAGAATCCAACCTCCCTTTTTCATCTTTTCATTAATAATCTGAAAGACAGGCTGGTAATTTTTTTCCAAATTATCACAAGCTTCGATTATAAACTTCTTGGCTTCTAAAAGTTCACCAAAAATAAACCCCATAGAAGGTATCTTCTCTCCATCAGCCAGCCTTAGAACCTTCATCAAAGGGCTGAAGATCTTCAAAACCATCATAACAGAATTCCAAAAACCAAAACTCATTACAGTATCAAATGTGTTCTTTCCCTTCACAGATTTCGAATGTGTGCATTCATACCACTCATCACTTGTAAACATTGCCTTCAGCTGAGCCTTCTTCTCGTAGAGACTGTTGAGAGTCAAGAAACAAGTTGCAAACCTTGTTGCACCAGGTCTGATAATATCTCTCTTCTTTGTATTTGATCTCATCATTGAAAAAGTTTTATGATGAGCATATATGTAGACTGTGGCTGCTTTTGCTTGAGTAATAAGTTTTTCAAAGTTTGGCAACTTTGAAATTCCCTCAAGCATCAAGTCAAGTGTGTGAGCTGCACATCCACTCCAAAAGATATTTGGTCTCTTGTCTCTTAGCATCCTAGCCGCTGAAACATTGTTGGTTGCATTATCAGTCACCACTTGCACTATTTCTTAGCTCCTAAGTCTTCTATGCACTGGTCAATGTAGTTGAAGACGTACAGACCATTATGAGAATCTTTGGAGGTGTCCTTTGAAGATAAAAAGCATGTTCCTCCTCTTGAATTAACACACAAATTCATGATGCTTCTCCTTTTCATATCAGTCCATGCATCAGTCATCACTGAGCAACCTTCTCTTTCCCATTCTTCTTCTAAAAGCTTAACCTTTTTCTGTGTCCTTAGAACCTCCTCATTTAGCAATGGTTCACGCAACTGGTATTGACTTGGTGGTATCCAACCAGGTCCAAACTGTCCTAATGCTTCACAAAACAGCCTAAAAGGTTCATTGTCTATAGCATTGAAAGGGATGCTTGCATGATATGCCCACCTAGAACAGTATTGACGTACTACATCTGTCTTCTCCTTAGAAATAACATCATGGATGCTCTGTTGCCGTTTCTGAGTAGCCAACGATGCTTCTGGATTAATGGTTCCTGCAAACTGATCCATCGGACCTTGAAAATGAGGTGACCGCATTGTTCCAAGCTCTTCTTGTACTTCATCAGTGGCTTGCTTCTCAACATTAACCTCATCTCGCAAATCATCTTCATGTCTTCTTTTCAGACTTTTCTTATCCTTTACTTCATTCAATGCCTTCATACACTTCTCCTTATCCGCCTGACTTGATCTTGGACAAGAAGCCATTGCCTCTTTCTTATGTGCAATGTGCTGCTTCAGACGATGAATCCCACCAGATATCTCTTTTCCACAAAGCTTACATTTCACCTTATCTGTATTAAGGGGATTATACAAGGTGCCATACTCCCATCCCACATCTGTTGAGTTTCGCTTAAGGACATGTTCAGGTGGTGGGTCAGCCATTTCAGGTGGTGGATCAGCCGGTAACTAATGATGATGATTGGTGGGTTTAGATGAAGTTAATAAAAAAAAACTTGTTCTTTGTTAGCTAAGTTCAGTTAGATGAAGTTAGATGAAGTTATAAGTTAGCTAAGTAAGTTAGATGAATGCCTAAACCAAGACACAACAACACAAACATAACGGTTTGTTCTTTGTTTAAGAATTTGAGAGATTCAGAGAGTGTTACCTCGAAAACAAAATGGAAGTCTTTGTAGATGATGAAGAGTTTGATTTACAATGAGTCGGGGATTAAGTGTTTTCCCCTTCTTCAAATGCTGTGTCGTTTTAAGAAAAGCCACAGAAAAAACACTTATGGGCCGAGAGAAACCCAAGATTTTTGACCGATTTTTACGAAATTTGGGCCGATTTTTTTGTTATTGGGCCGCATTTTTTATTAATCGGTTTTCCGCCTACCACCACCGAGTCGCAGCGGTGTGCCACCTTCCAGCGCTTGGGCGGCCGCCGAGGTGGCTAGGCGACTAGGTTCTGGTTCACCCTTGGGCTGTAATAGAAATCGTAGGCCCACTTTCTTTTGTGGCCTGGTGAGATGTAAGGCCCAGTCTTCTTTCTTGAGTTGACTTCATTCCTGTGATGACTTTTTCTCTTCTTCTTTCTTCTTCCAAACACAATGTTTGCTTCTGCTCTTCTTCGTTCTTCATTCTTCTCTTTAATTTCTGTTTCTCTATTGTGAGATTTAATCAAGGATCAACATTCAACACTCCCTCTTGAATCCTTTGATTAAATCCCCAATTCCAATCTAGGGGTTTTGTTCCCATCACTCCTTATTCTTTTCTTGTGATTCAACCTCCCTCTTGATATGAATCTCCAAGAATCCAGCTTTTGCATTTGCGAATTTCTTTGCCCCCTCTTGACAGATTTGATTCGCAATCTTCCTCTGTTTTGTGAGCTTTCCTCACTTCTCCACCAGCTGCTTCTGCAACTAGCTTCTGCTCACTATCTGGTGAGCTCTTTCTTCTCAGCTTGGTGTCTTCCTTGATCACCAGCTTCCTTGCAGGAGACACATCAACTCTGGGTTTTCTTCTCTTTCCCGTGAGCCTTCTCCATGTCTCCTTCAAGCTTTCTCCGTGAGCTTCTCTTCACGTTACTACCACCGTGAACGTCCGTCATGTTTTCGTCGGCTTAATTCTCCAGCCAGTTTCTGCTCTTCTTTCACTCTTTAGGTAAGCAAGCTTTCTTCTTCTGTAGGTTTCTTCTTTGATCACCAGGTTGTGCCTTTGATCTCTTTGAACCATCACTTTGGTTTTCTTTAGCCTTGGCCTGTTTGGTTCTCTTGACCATCACCTTGACTTTCTTTAACCTTAGATTGTTTGGTTCTCTGAACTTCTAGTTCTAGCACATACTCTGCCTCTCATCAAAAATACTTTACATTTGATCAGCTTCATACCTTTGAATGAAATCCTTCTTCTCAAACCTTTCATTTGCAGGTTTGCTTGATTTTGATGCTGGTTTTTCTCCTCCATTTCTCTGATGGTTGAGAATTTCCAGCAACTCCCTCTGCCTCCTTGGTCTTCAACTTAGACCTCAGTCATGGTGCTTTTCTTCCTCCAGTAGAAGCCAACTTCCTGTTTGGCCGTCGCCGTCTTCGTTCTGTCATCTTCACGTCATTCTGGGCTGTCTCTGCAGCTTTTTCAGCTTCCTTTCTCTTAGGTAAGCTTCTTTTCCTTTTTTCCTTGGTGTCATCTTTGAACACCAATTTGTTCTTCTGATTCTTAGAACCATCTCCTTCAGCTTTAGCTTTGGACTTTTTGACTCTTAAACCATCACCTCAACTTCTCTTACTGTAGTCTGTTTGGTTTCTTCTTTGAGTCATCACCTTAGCTTTCTTAGCTTTAATGGTTTGGCTCCTTGAATCTTCAACCTTAGTGGCTTTGTTTGGTTTCTAGAATCATCAACCTTGGCTTTCTCCAAATTGGTTTGTTTGATTCCTTTCACCACCACTTTGGTTTTTCTTTAACCTCAGCTTCTCTTTCTTTCTTTTTCTTTGCCTTACACATGTCTTTTTGGTGCAGGCTCCTTCTCTTCATCTTCATCGTCGTCGTCGTCATCACCACCATCATCGTCTTCGTCGTCTCCGTTCCATCCTCATCACCTTCTCTTCTTCTTCGCTGCCATCTTCATCTCCATCTCTGCTTTCTTCTTCTGTAGGTTTCTTCTTTTCACCTCCCTCAGCAACCACTTCCATATTCTCTCCACTTTGATGGCTGCAAGGTTTTCGGCTTTGGAAGGTTCTTCATCTCCTTCTCTGTTTTCTTTTTCTTCTCTTCAACATCGATGTTCTTCATCTCATCTGCTGCTTTCTCTCATGGACCCATTCTTCTTTCTTGAACAAGCTCCAAGAATAACTACAGCTCTGATACCATGTTGACATTCTTCCCTTTCTCTCTCATTCACTCAGGTTTGTTTTCTTTCTCTCTTTCTCTCATTACTCTTTTCTTTTGTTTCTCTTTTCTCTCCCTCTGTTTCTCTCTAACCCTTGCTCTGTTTCACTCTTTGTTGTTGTTTAGTTTTTCTTAGTGAAACATGAAGAAATTTAGAGAGATAAACTTTAAAGGATTACATTTTGTTATTTGATCAATCGATATTTTCTCCATCTCTTTTACATCATACTTATAGAGCTTTACTACTCATTGCACTCATATCTAATGATCTCTAGACCTAACAACTTCTCCTAGTCCATACCTCTAATACTAGACTAGTTTTACAAGCAATCTTCACTCTGATCATCAACAACTCTTAACAACTCTAACCACTTCTAACAACTCCTAAACCCAGCAAACTTTAACATAGCTTAGTTAGCTTTAACCAAACTAGGTTCTGGTTCACCCTTGGGCTGTAATAGAAATCGTAGGCCCACTTTCCTTTGTGGCCTGGTGAGATGTAAGGTCCAGTCTTCTTTCTTGAGTTGACTTCTTTCCTGTGATGACTTTTTCTCTTCTTCTTTCTTCTTCCAAACACAATGTTTGCTTCTGCTCTTCTTCGTTCTTCATTCTTCTCTTTAATTTCAAGTCACGTGCTCCCTACTCTTTTCTGTTTTCTATTGATAAATCTTCAAAAATTCTAATTTAATATAATGAGTTTATAGAAAAAGTACTCCTATTATCAAAAATATGCATTTTTAAAAAAGTTCTAAATCCACCAATATATGTATAGAAACCAGAGACGGAGTTATTGTAGCTATAGGGTTTTTGACAATCTCTTAGCAAAAAAATTGTTTGACAAAAGGATCACAAATATGTCGTTGTCACGCTTTGCTATACTATCATAGTCATACTATGCATCGTTTTCGTTTCCCTCTTTGCATGTAAGGCATATTCATAATATACAGTTGTGGCTTTTGTTCTCAAATCCCTGTATCTGATGATCTTACACGTTTATTTTTATTTTATTTTACTTTTTAAGGTGAAAACGTGGCGGGTTTGGAGGTGAAGAAGATAAATCTTAATATATGCGTTCCAGCAATTTGCAGTAACGACTCCTCAATAATCATATGTTATTGCTGTCTTCGAAAAGAAAAGTTATGTTGGGGGGGGGGGGGGGGGGGGCAGTAAAGAAAACTATTTTTACTAATGCGCGGAACGTAATCATTCACAGAAAAGATTAGAGACACCAAATTTTTTATTTGTTTTAGGACCACTTATTTTGTTTTTGTTTTCTGCTTTAGAATAATATTTTTATATCATAGAAAAACTCACATGGTTGCCGTCTAATAAACTTCGTAACATGGTTGAACACTTAAACAAGATGATATGGTGTCTTTTTTTGCTTGCCTTTTAAGAAATAACTATAATCGGTGAATCGTATTGGAGTTAATTAGTATTAACTTTGAACGTCTCTTTGAGATGGACTACTCAAAAGGCATCTCTAATTTGCAGTCACGACTAAACTACGGGAAGGATTTAGATCCATGCATATATACTTTGCATAGACAGCATAGTTTTGGTTTCCCACGTTTCATATTGAAAAGGAAGAGATATAATCGACATTGATTCTCTTTTAGATGACGACACTTTCATGTCTCTTGAATTTGAAGGATGATCCACTGCATCTGAGAAAACCGTACATAGAGAGAGAGGTAGAGCGATGAGTGTTTTATAATACGCTAGACTTTACCGTTAGTCAGGCGACGAAAACATATAACACGAGTTAAAATATACTTAGACATACTAACATTATATTTGGTCACAATAGCAATATATATTATTATTTCCTAAATAAAAGAATTTTACAAAATATTGGTAACTATAGATGAGATTAAGATTAACAAAACATTTATTTCCTATTGCGTCACTCTTTATGCCTTTTTTCTTATTGCATCACACTTTTTGCATTTTCGATTTGTCTTACCTTGACTTTCGATAGAGGAGACACTAAGCATTATATAAACTAGTAGGTTTTCAAAGCGAATGTGTAAACTACTTCGATTTACAAAGTAATCATTAATTATACTTTCATCAATGGTGCTTGCTTAATAGTATTAACGAACTAAAGTGATTTTATTCAGAAACGAATACCAAACACTTGAATGGTCATTAGAAAAGGGAATATCACAAATCACAACTAAAGTAATTTAACCGAATAACTAGAATCTTATACGGTAAAGGTAAAGCTTCCTGACGGCTCCAGGGGGCTGGCCTGAATTTGATTCTCTGAGTAACAAGAACAAAAAAAAATGCTAAATTATTCTATTAGATTCCTAATACTCAAAACCCAAATTTCCTCATTCAGTTGAAAACAAGAGACCTTTGATTTGTCACAACTCGCAACTATATTCTTTGAAGCCTTTCTTCTTCACGATGTACTACCAATTTGCTTTGTACCAACTAGGTTCTTGCTCCAATGATTGATCCTGGTTGGACTTTGAAACGTTGTCTAAAAGCGACACTGACACAGAGAACCTGGAAGGATAACATCGAGGAAGATAAAGAACCGCATAACAGAAATTTCAGATATAGAAAATCAATTTTAGTTTGGATTTTTTATCTCCTAAGAACATCTCAAAGAAATGTTTTATAAAATTTGAATTAGAAGTTTTATGCATTCCAAGAGTATTGCAAAACTTTTTTTTTCATTTAGGACATCTTCAATATATAGCTTCATATTTTACTCCATTTTAAAGTATCTCCAAATGAAGTTGTGTTTTACTTCAATCCTACCCTAAAATGGAGTGATGACTAAAAAAAATATAATTCTATTTCTTGTTCTTTTTTTTACTCAATTTTGGAGAAGAAAATGGTATATGATTGAAGAGAATTTTACTTCAAACTCTATTTTGAATTCAAATTTGGAGTAGAGTTGTAGATGATCTTCTCTGCAATTATATATCTGTTTAGGTAAATTTTAGTTTTACAAAATGATGGAAAAAACATAAGTTTAATCAATGAACTTTTGTTAATAACTGCTCAGAATTGCAATAAATATCAAAAACCGTTTGAAGATGACTTCTTAGGTCGTAGGTTGTTGTTTGTAATCGTTGGTCGTTTATGTCGGTCGATTAGCTTAGTCGAGTTGGTGTATTGTCTCTAAGACGTTTTACTATGAATTCTCAAACTTTTAGGTTGTTATGTTGATGGTGTGCAGTGGATCTAGCTCTTGGATAAATCCAGCCGCTTGTAAGTACGTATAGAAATTTCATTTGTTCAAATAAAAACGATTTTTAAGTCATAGTATCTATATAATTTGAAAGCTATTTTTGAATCGATATCTCATATGATTATTTCGTAAGCTAGATAGAATGAAGAGTATAATGTAATTTCACTTGACCAGATAAAATAATCGATTTAGCAAAAACATAGAACATAGTGAAACTTTTCTTGCAACTTATTCTTTGTTTTATTGATATTTCACCAGTAGGAGTACATAACAAAATTTGGGATACGTACTATGAAGTTTTCCATTGATTCCGTAATTGAAGATAGGATCCAAAATTTAGTGGACTCATGGTCATTCAACTTTATTTTTACCAGCATTTACCATATGACCAAATTAATAATAATATTATCTTCATTAGTTTTAACCTTACAGAAATGACCTAAGTGGTTTAATACTTTCACAAGAAGTAAGGACATAATAATATGGATACATATATATGATCTGACATGTTTATTTTTATAACATTTTTACGATATAAACCATATAGAATCAATAGAATTATATGAGCATATAATAAGTTATTGTTATCAACAATTAGGCTATATATCTAAAACAGCAATGAGCATTCCTAATAGTGAAAATGTATCTTTAAAGCATCAATTACTTTAGCTTTGGACTTATTCAATCTTATAATAATGATTTCTCTCTTGTTCTCCTTGCTTTTTGTGTGTACAAGAACTATTATGCCTACATTTTCCATCAAATCAATATATTTCATCTGCACCAAAAAAATACTTATCATCATCACCACAATAATAGAGGTATGTTTAATGAGTAAAAATGATAAATTTTGATATGTACCATGGAACATTCAAATAATTGATAGATGAGTGTTTCTGACGATCAATATGATTTCTATTTTTCACATAAAATTTTAGATAAAATGCAAAAGAAAACTAGAAAAAATGCAAAAAGAATAATCAAATAATTGGTCGAGGTTAACACTTTTTTCAACATCTATTCTCGGATGAATAACCTAAACAAAATCTAAAGAAAATACAAAAGAAAACTAAAATAAATGAAAAAAGTGCTTGACATGTCATGAGCATCCAAGTTTCTTTTTTCTTAACCGTTAAGAGTTTTTTGAAGAACAATAACCTTGCTACCGAACTCTTTGGTTATTCATTTTTTGAAGTTTTGTTCAATCTGTTTGCTCATAAATGCATTGATTCATAATTAACCATTTTAGTGTGTTCTTTAAGCCTATATTGTTTATGTTCCTACACTAATTTACAACTTTATTTTTCTCTCAAATTTGAAGAGTCTGTATTTGAGCATCCAAACATTTCCTTGAGGCAAATCAAAGCTGCCACAAACAAAACAATTGGTACCGTTATATAAGTATATAAGTATAGAGTAAGAAATGATGAAAAATATATGCATGATTACAAGAAATGTTGCACAATAGAACTACTATCAATGTAATATTGGTGGGCTCTATAGTATCCCATGAAAGGCCACTTATCACACAAATCAGATATGTAGAGATTTTGAGTGCTAGCTGTGGAGATTGTATGGGGGAAGAGATTTTGAATAGCAAATAATGATTGTTGATGGGTATGTTTTTTTCTTTTTTTTTTTTTGGTAAAGTGCACCTTATGTGGAAGAAGAATAAGTTGGCAGATCTTATGGATTCAGGGTTACAAGCTTATGATGGTGAAGAGGCGCTTGTGATAGTGAAAATTGCCCTCTTGTGTACAAGTCGCTTGCCTGCTAGCCGACCTCTCATATCACCAGTGGTGAAGATGCTGGAAAGAGAGTTAATTATAGATACTGTTCTATGTTTTTTTTTCTAACCATATTTGACATAAAAGTTCCAAGAACATTTTTATTTATATGATATCGTGTCTTTTTATTTTTATTTGCTTGCATTTTAAAAAATAACTATATTCCGTGAATAATTGTATTGGAGTTAATGAGTATTAACTTTGAAAGTTTCTTTGTGTATACTACTCAAAACTCATTTTTAATTTGCAGTCACAGGACTAACTACGGGAAGGATTTAGATCCATATATACTTTTGCGTGTTTTTAGTTTCCCACTCTATTGGTACCAATCCTTTAAATTTCTATTTTATTTTTTTTCATGAATCGTTTTGCATATATTTTGCTTACATTTTAATAATGTTTCGCTTATTTTTTTTTTATTGTTTCAAAATTCATGTTTCTTATTTAAATTCAGTAATAGTTATAGTTAGAGTTAAGCGGTTAAGTACCATTGGATAATGAAATAATAAAATCAAAATAGGGTGATTTTATTATATACCAAAAGTTGACCAAAATATTAAGTAGATACCAAAAGAAACTTAAAAATTAGTTTCCCCACTCCACGTCAGCAAATTCTCTCTAATTTACCCCTATTGTTCATGATGTCAAGACTGACATCAGTATTAAACAAATATCAGTTCTCTTTCTCCTGGATAATGACACATGTCACCTGCCACAAGATATGATGTACCTAAGTATTATGTGGTAAATGACGACATAATAGTCTATGTATTATTGTCATCGTTTGCTAACTTTAATGTATATATATCCGATAACTATATATGAGTGTTATCGTCTATCGGGGTTATGCTAACAATGATATGTAATACAAGTTAACATGTTAATAATACTTTTTGTTATATGTTAACAATGATATATGTTAACATCTCTACTTGTTAACAATGATATATGTTAACTTATTTACTTGTTAACAATAATATCTAATATTGTAACATGTTACTATGGTGCAATAAAATATATGATATTTGTTAACGTGCTAACAAAAATATCAGATATTTATTAAAATGTTAACAATAATGGATAGTGTTTGTTGACGTGTTATCCGATATTTGGTAACATGGTAACAAAATAACAAGTATTATCGAAACGTTA